TAACGTATCTTTGACTTATATGGCCATATCCAATCTATCCCGCTTCTATTATACAGCTTCCTAATAACCAACCATTTTAATAATCCGTAGATGCTGATGGGAGAAATATCGGTGAATTTGACTGATGTATGGGTTGTGTTGGTTCTCTAACTGAATTTGAAGTGAAAGTTGCTTTGTTGACTTGGAACAAGCTTGGTGATGCTCTGTCATGATGAGACAACACTTTCTCCACATTGTTTCCATACAATTGAGTAATACCATTTCTCGAGAAGTTTGTGTTGACACAGAATATTATTGATTGATTCACCCAGGTTCCTGGAATATGAAATTGTTGACTTGTGACAGAATAAGTATTTAAAAACGTAAGGTTTGCGAGATTTTTCACAATTACAATAGAGTTGATGTCTCTCTGAAACTTTTTATTTTATAAAAAGGTTGAATACTCTCTTACTCCCTTTGTAAGAATATGTCTAGTGAATTCTCGATTTGAAAATCACCTGATTTAAGACAAAGGTTTTTAAATCCCGAGTCCTAAATACAATTCAGGTTTTTATAAACTGATTGGAAATAAGACCTATTACATTTAACATCAAATCGAAATGAAACTTGGCCCACCTGCTGATTGGTCACCCTTGATATAGAACATCAGAGATTAAATCATTCTTCTATAAGAATTCTGTTACAATTTTACCAAGGTTACCAATATTACCAAGCTTGTCCCAAAAGTTCGTAAACACTTGCAAAATATAAATAATAATATGTTTACGAACTTTTGGAACAACCCAATGAAACCGAAATTTTTAAAGTCCTTAAGTACATGATATATATAATAATTATCCCCATCTGTATAAGAATTAAAACCCTAATTAGACAATAAAGTTTTTTTTTATTTAATTGCCATCTATCGTTAAAAATTTACACAAATAAATTTACTGGCAATGCGCTTCTTTTAAATATCATCAAATATTATCTCTACAGACCTTACTGCAATGATATGAGTTATTGAATTGTGTTGGCGAAACCGCTGAGAGGGCTCACTACTGATGAGCCAAGCCCTCTCATTCAATAACTCATATCATTTCAGTAAGGTCTGTAGAGATAATATTTGATGATATTTAAAAGAAGCGCATTGCCAGTAAATTTATTTGAGTAAAGTTTTTGCTTATTTTATATTGTCTTGGCAACAAAGTTAAGTTTCATTCTAAATTGACCAAGAATATAAAATTGAGTTTGAACGATGAAAAATACTGGTTTAGGAGCAATTATAATTTGAAGACAATCGTTTCTGATCACAGAGCAAAGTCTTTAATCGAGAAGCGACCGTATATAGAAGTCGTGTATGTATAGATTTCTTAATACGTTTTTAAAATAGAATTTAAAATAATTTTAGAGCTATCTTTCTGTTCTAAAACTTGTTTTTTTCCCAAAACACAACGTTCTTACAAACCAGTGTTACTCTCCACAAATCGATTGGATATTTCTCTATATATATATATGTCGTATCCGTCGTGGTCGAATGGAAGGGCGCAGCCGTTGTACATGTATGCTTCGAAAAAGAACTTGTTCCACACTCGTGAGCGCACGCGGCGGTGGCGTAGCCTTCGCTCGCGCGCGCTGGCCCCCACGTTTTATTTTGTACAGATTTATATATGGGTGAATTTGTATTTACATTTTAACATATTAATTATGGCGAAAATAAATTATATCTCTTGGGTATTAATTATACATATTATGACATATATATATACTATTATATTTCATTCTCTCTCATCATTAAGGGTAGACCATATACACTACACTATTTATGAAAATTCACATTTTTTTTTACCATTACTAGCAATACTTATCTTTTTTAAAGAGATAGGAAGATTTGAAGTATTAAAGAGCTTGACTCATCAGTGGAGAACTCTCCTAGCTGTTTCACCAATTTGATTTACCAAACGACTACAACGATTGAAGTATATTTTTTGCTTATATAATATGCATTTTAATTTAATTATCAAAATTATGTTCAGTAAAGCTATTACGCTATACTTGTGGTGTTGTAGAAATCATAGTTTTTTTTTTTGCTTCGAGCACAGCTCTTCAGCTTAAAGGACAAACATATAGTCTGCCTGTTTATGTAACATTATACTTAAAGAGCTGCCGCTATGTATAGTGTTCAAATGACTACGTTTTTATCCACACACTCGATGTCTATACCTATAGTTCTTAGACCTTCTATCTAAATACAAACATCAGGGATAGACCAGGTCAACTACAACATCAGGGATAGACCAGGTCAACTACAACATCAGGGATAGACCAGGTCAACTACAACATCAGAGATAGACCAGGTCAACTACAACATCAGGGATAGACCAGGTCAACTACAACATCAGGGATAGACCAGGTCAACTACAACATCAGGGATAGACCAGGTCAACTACAACATCAGGGATAGACCAGGTCAACTACAACATCAGGGATAGACCAGGTCAACTACAACATCAGGGATAGACCAGGTCAACTACAACATCAGGGATAGACCAGGTCAACTACAACATCAGGGATAGACCAGGTCAACTACAACATCAGGGATAGACCAGGTCAACTACAACATCAGGGATAGACCAGGTCAGCTACAACATCAGGGATAGATCAGGTCAACTACCGTATAAGGATACTTCAAGGTTGTGATTCCAGGAGGGGTGGGGGTAGGACATGCCACAACAGGTCGCGTCCTGTTCGTGTCGTGTCCGGACTGCGTGACACGCCGTTTCAATTTGCACCAAGGCCGCATGTATTGTGAGGTTCATCCACAATGGGAGGTACTCGTTCATCTTTGTCTGCCGCCGTTGGGAAATCTTCAGCCCTTGTCCTCTAGTTTCCGTATTCCATAGATCTTTCTTTCCTCTGTGTCTGTTGGGAACATTCTTCCCTGATTTACCTCTCTTTCTGTTCCTTCCTCCTTTACATATAGGTTAATGGTTGAGCGATATATAGTCGATTCCCAAATTAATGACTACCAACGGGATTGAAAATATTTGTTCCTGTGAAGCCGAGATTTGTATTCAATACAGGCAATTTTTGTTGGCATCATCATTATATACCATTATCGATCAAAAGGTCACGAATCAATGGGGAGATCAATTTAAGCGAGTTCCTATCAAACTCTGAGGTAAACGACCTATGATGTAATATTGCGCTCCATATATTGATTTGATAAAAACTGTTATTTCAAGTTAAGATAGGTAGTAAATATACATAGAGAGATTAAGGTATAATCATCAGATTTCCAGAAATAAGAAAAAAAGGCATCTCCTTATCGTGCAACTGAAAGTTACTGAGAAAATAAAATAATATCAAATTTGTACTATTTTTTCACATTACAAAAATAAGTTTCTTTTTTGAAAAATTCCATTTAGATCTCTAGCTTTCAGATATGAAAGTCCTTCAACAGGAGAAAGTACAATGCAATAACAAATCTTTGTCTTACGCAAGAACCTTATTCCCGATTTGTTATAATCCTAAAATAATTAGGAACTTTAAATCTATTGTTAGTATGCTTTATTCAACAATACTTTATTATACTTCTACAGTCAAACTCACACAAAAAGAGAACAGTAACAAACAGAAAACAACAAGAGGACCTAACATGATTCATTTCCTTTCACCGCCTATTATTTCTTTTGTTTGTTCTTTTTTCTTTCGCTTTCTTACAAATTCGGTATGCAAGTCACGTTTCAAATTTTTGAAGTCCCCTTTCTTCTGTTGAAAAATTCATAAGACGAAAAATCATAATATAAATACTAAATTATGCATAATATTATGTGCAAATTCCCGTGTTTTTATTCTTTTATCTTTTTATTTTCCTTGAAAAATCATCGTAAAACCTGTGTGTGTATGAATATAATTGCCATAATTAGATTTTTGCGTATATAATATGCAGATTTTTTATCATAAAATATAAAAACTTTTCCTTTTTACTCTTTTTCTTTTCAGACTCCATAGTTTTGTTGTAGTAAAAAAATCCATGTATGACTCTATGTCTTACGATATACATAATAACGTTATTGTTTTAATTTTGAACATAATTTGTTGTGTTTGGAAGTTTGAAAAGTAGCGTTAAAGAAAATGTGTTTATAATTGTCAGAGATATATGGCGCTAATTTAATGAAGACAGTATCTCTATAGCGATATTCAAGTACCTATATATAACAAATTAAGACATTAAAACGCGAATGTTTCTTTTCACAAATAAATCAAACTTCTACTGTTCTTACTTGAGAGGGCTTGGCTAATCAGTCCGTTTTTAATCACAGTAAGGACAGTAGACGTTTGATTTATTTGTGAAAAGAAACATTCGAGTCTTAATGTTTTATTTGTTATATATGGATTGCGCGTTATTGCTTTGTATTATATAAGTACGTGTAGATTTGTCGTGTAAGGTGCTTGGATATCTTAGTAGTTGATATGGCGGAGTGTTATGATGGGCGACACATCTCAGAAAGGACGAGTCAGATTCAACTGGGTGAAAGCCGTCACCAAAACTGCTGTTTGAGAGAAGGAAGCTATCTATCTATTATTCCTCGACTAATTGGCCAATATAACATGGTCTTATAGTCGATGGAAGCTATGTTCAGACTGTTCTCAACTGTTCTTAGATCTCGTCATCTGAAGGAAAAATCCCTCCCCTCGGGCTGACATGTGATAAGCCCCCAACCGCAATGGGAAGTCGTGTTCAGTTGGTATAATCCTTTCCTTTTCTCTCTAAGCTTTCTCCGTGTGCCGCTAGTTTATTTATCTTCAAAGATGACATACAACATATTATTCGTTTGAATAGACAAGTTGTACAAAGCAATAACGCCCCATCTATATATAACAAATAAAAACATTAAGACGCGAGTGTTTCTTTCACAAATAATTCAAACTTCTACTGTCTTTACTGCGATGAAAAATATCGCAGTAAGGACAGTAGAAGTTTGATTTATTTGTGAAAGAAACACTCGCGTCTTAAGGTTTTCATTGCCTACGTTGAAAACATCGATTCTCGTCCGATCACCGAAGTTAAGCAACGTCGGGCCCGGTCAGTACTTGGGAGGGTGACCACCTGGGAACACCGGGTGCTGTAGGCTCCCCCTTTTATCCGACTCGAGGGACTTTTCTTGGGCTCAAAATCATACACTTTGGTAGGTAGCTCGTAAAACCATTTTCTCTCTCTCTTAATGTTTTCATTTGTTAGACAATTTGTGATAAGTGGATGTAAATAATATTAAATGGATCAAGTATAGTTTAAATATTGTGCTAAATGAAGCAATATTGTAGTGTAGAAAATTAAGTCTTTTTATACTAGACCCGCGAAGAGATATCAAGCCCTATCACCCGTTCTCGAGCCTTGAGACTGAGGATGTAAGTCTTCTTTTGAGCATCGAGTCGATGCTCTTTATAGGAGGAGGCTATGTGGCGAAGAAATAATTTATTATTTAATTTAATTATTCAATGAAAATATTTGAAAACAGATTTAATTTAATTTAGTTATTCAATATAAAATAATGATCGAAATATTTATTTGCATGCTTTCTCAAGTTTCTCTAGCTGTAGATAGTTTTGTTGATAATTGTCGACTAGTCGCCGTGACGTCATCAATAAATACTTTCACATCTTCAGATATACAAATATTTGATTTCTACGCTACAATATGGTTAAATGGATCAGGTATAGTTTAAACATTGTGTTAAATGAAGCAGTATTATAGTATATATGGTATATTAAGGATTGAATTATCAATAGTAGTTTTTTTCCAAGCAGTTTCTAGAGTGTACTCTTCATACTGCTATTGTATAGTAGATCAAATATGTTAGGTTCCCCATTCACTAAGACCAACCTATATCATCGTCTTGATGATGGGTTCCCAGTAACTTTGTTTTGTTTTCTTGCGACGAGAAAAGCGGCTTTATCGTCTGACGTCAATAAAAGAGATGTTATCTTCCTTGAAGGAAAAACTTGGGAACGGAAATGGAATTCTGGAGTCAGTTGCGGCAAGATGTAGTCCACAGTTCTCAAGGTCTGCTCAGAGCTCTTCGGTTTGTCTTCCCTATCCTATCTCTACCAAAATGTCACGTAAGAAAAAAAGATTGAAGTCAAACATCAGGATGACAAGAACAATTATTTTGATCAAAACACAATTCCAACTTATTTACACAAAAGAATAAAAAAGAGAAATATTATTAGAATAACATACATACACCAATACCTCGCTTTGCGTCGTTTCGTTTTGCGTTTTTTTCGAAGTTGCGTCGCTGCTTAATTTTTACTGATTTTCACTGTGCGTCGTTAGATTTTCGAAGTTGCGTTGTTTTGGATTCGAGTCTTTAATTTTTTTAATTATTTTTTTTTCCCTAAAATATGGCAACACCTTTGTTTTTGATTGCGCCTTCACATATTTTCACTTTGCGTCGTTTCAATTTGCGTCGTGTTTTTTTTTGGAACGTAACCCCGACGCAAAGCGAGGTATAGGTGTATGTATAAATGAAAAATTTTGCCGGGAGAAAATTGATCTATAAAAATAAAGGTGGCCTCTCCAGTCAAAATGGACGCTAAAACTAAGTGTCATCTATCGACCGTGTCAGCAAACTAGCGGACAAACACCAGCTTTGTCACCGACCCGAGTCTACTAGTTTCCGGAGACGGTCAATAGACGTCGCTTCGTTTTACCGTCCATTTTGACTGGAGAGGTAATAATTATTTTTATAGATATGTAAATATTAAAAATAAAGAAGGCATTTCCTGACCACGAGCACATGTGCTTTTTAGATGGCAGAGCGCTATCGTCTGACGTCAATAAAAGATTTTTTTTTCTATTGTTTCTTCATATATAAATATTTATGTAAACTCTTGATAAGTTCTTTGAACTAATGATGTTAGAAAATTTACAATGGATAAGTATTGACAGGAATTCATCCCATATGTGTTTTGATATTCATATCTTAACTTTTTTAACACTATTTTTGAGTTGTCTTTTTTCAGTGTGTAAATTTTTCTGTCTCTTCTAGGAGATTATCTTGCTACATTGTTTATATAGGCATATAGTTTTCAGTTTATAATATTTTATAGCAGAAAATTCAAAATGGATTATATATTGATTAAAGTGGTTTTTCAGAATCCATGGACATAGTGTTCCAGTCTCTTCCCTCATAAAACCCTTCTGGGTGGTTAAAAGTAATCCAATCGATTTTTATCAGATAGGAGAATAGATAATACAATGATAGTTTCCTTTTGTCCATTTCTATTAAAGTTGTAAACGACAGATTAAACTGGCGAAACCGCTGGGAGGGTTCACCACTGATGATCCAGGCCCTCCCATTAATTTTTCATTGCAGTAAGTACAGTGGAAAATTAAAACAAGAACATTAAGCATCCAGGGAAAAGTTTCTTTTAAAAAAATATATATATTTAATTAAAAAAATATCTTAAGCTTTCGGGCTAAAAAGCCCTTCTACGGGAGAAAATATCTTACATCATTAAAACGCCAATAAAATAATATTTGAAATTAAATAAAGTGCTTTGTGGTTGCTTACATTTTACATATTACAAATGTAAACAACCAAAGCACTTTATCTAATTTTAAATCTTATTTTATTGGCGTTTTAATGATGTAAAATATTTTCTCCCGTAGAAGGGCTTTCTTGACCGAAAGCTTGAAAGATTTTTAAATAAAAATATATATATTATTATTCTCTCTATATATATTTACAAATATCAAATTCTAGTGTATTGTGTTCTTCACTATGTAAATCCGTTTTTGCATAACTGTTATTTTCTGCTCATATATATGTATATATTTAGATTAGATCCGAAAACTTTAGTAGCGTAATATATTTTTCCTGTCGATGGGCGGTTGTGCCCGAAAGCTTGAAATAAATTTATTTGAAAGATACTTACTTATCCCTCAAACTTATTGATTTGAACAACAAAAATATATATATATTTTTTAAAAGAAACTTTTCCCTGGAGGCTTAATGTTCTTGTTTTTATATTGAGTCAAGGGATTATTTTATCAACCAGTAGAAATTTGTTTAATTTTAAAAAGAATCATACACGTCTATAATAGTTTCGAATTATCATGACAGATGGCACGCTAATGTATCATAGCATACTGTGAGTGTGCAGTATATAACTATATGGCTAAGAAAGTATAAACAATTTGATTTTGCACTTATAAAGTACGATAACCCCTAATTTGGTAGAATAAAACTCTATGTACATTCATTGAGAATTTCAAGTATTGTTCTTCAACTTAGAAATCAAATTCAGAAGCATGTAAGGATTCTAAATTGAATAAAATGTCGGAAAAATAATGATCGTGATGCGAGAAAATTTTGTCCAAAATTTTCACAATTTACGAATTCAAACTGCAGAGTTACAACTCATCTCTGTTATAATTAACGGTTAATTTACATTAAATCTTAATGAGCAAGCTGTCCTTGTCGATGAATAAACAAGTCGCATAAAATATAATTAGCATCGTCTGCTTTTAATTAGGAAGGAAGAGTAGTGGATTTAGCAACACTGCCTTGAACTCCCTTATAGGAGGTTACTCGGGGTAAACCAACCTCCTCAAGCAAATATGTAAAAAAACACGTTAAAATCTTATATTAGCGATATGTATCAGATATCTTTCAGAGTTATTGTCTTAATCCCGATATACATGCTAAAAGGTATAACTTCCTTAAGTTTTGTCTATGAGTGTATACAGACTATGATAATCATGTTGGGCAGGATTATGTAATTTCTTTTCACCGTCAAGGCATCCAGAACCTGTTTAGTCACTTGCGCTTCTCTCAGGTAGAGTCGTGTTTGTCCAGGAATCAGAGATTATTTAAACATTTTTTTATACATTAGCGCGCCATCTGTTAACAAAATTCGAAACTATTATAGACGCATATGATTCTTTAAAAAAAAAACAATTTCTACTGTCTTTACTGCAATGGGAAAATTAATGGGAGGGCCTGGCTCATCAGTGGTGAACCCTCCCAGCGGTTGGAACTGGTAAAACCGCTGGAAGGGTTCACCACTGATGAGCCAGTCCCTCCCATTAATTTTTACATTGCAGTAAGGACAGTAGAAAATGTTTATTTAAAAAAATATATAAAAAAAAATAATAATAAAAAAAAAAGGATCATACCCGTCTATAATAGTTTCGAATTTTGAAACTTTTTAAAATATATATTGTAGCGTAGAAATCAAGCCTTGAAATATCCTAAGATGTAAAAGTATTTATTGATGACGTCACAGCGACGAGTCGACAATTATTAACAGGTCAGCAAAACTATTTACAGCTAGGGAATCTTAAGCAAGCAAGCAAAGAAATATTTTAAAGATGATTTCACAAATACAGATTAATATATATTTTTATAATCTGTTGAATATATTTTCATTGAATAATATTAAATTAAATAATAAAATATTTCTTCGCCACATAGCCTCCTCCTATAAAGAGCATCGACCCGATGCTCAGAAGGAGACTTACGTCGTCAGTCTCAATAACTACATAGTACTAGGGCCAGGGATATTTTCAGGTGACTGTGGTGGATGTCTTCTTTCATTTGAGATAACTTCTTCCTGAAAGCTTGGCAGGTCTATATTTACGTCAATGTAGTTTTTTCTTATTTATACTGTGGTAGGCAAAGTAGGATTTCTTAACTTTGCGGCCTCACCTCCAATATGGTCTATCATCTGATTTTCATGGCGGGGCGACCAGCTAGATCTTCTAGCAGGTGAGAAATTTTGTCTGTTTCGACCGGTATATGGGGTAGGGATTCGGTAGCGACTGAAATTTTTCCTCGATGATTCATCGTTGGGTTCCTGAGATTCGGTTTGAGAGTTGTAGAATTCCATTGCGTCTTGCTTTCTTTGGAAATATTTATTTCTCCTTTCCTCATTATGTCTCTTCCTGTCGCGGCAATAGCGGACGACGTGACCTGGGCGTCCGCAGTAGAAACAGATTGGCTTTCCCTCAGTTGTCCGCCATTCATTGGTGTCACAACTTCTCCCTTGCTTTCGGTAATGAGGTTCAGAATGCGGTCGTATCGTTTGGGCCTCGTATCTAGGCCTGGATGCTTGAGGGGGACTTATT